GCGGGGGGATGAATCCGTTGAGCAGTTTTTGGAACGCTTCAGGAGATCGGAAACCAGGTGCCAGGTTCGTATACCAGAGAATCAGGTGGTAAACATGGCTATCAACAACATGACTCATCAATTACGGGATAAACTCACTGTCCAAGAGTATCATGATTTCCGGCAGTTGACGTCCAAGCCTGTGAAGGCCGAACAACTCGTGAGATAGGCCTAGGCAGTTCGGAATCAGAAGTTTCGGGGTACGAATCATTGCGTTTTCGCCCAAGAAGAGGCTACCGAGGAGGATGAAGAATGAGAGGAGACCTTCTTGGCAAAAATAACACAAGGGAAGGCATATACATGCCTGGATCTTAAGCCGCCTCGACGGAAAGATATGAATCCGAAGATATTTTATTCGTTCGACATCGCAAAGACATAACAGATCTTAGAACACCTGCTGTAAGACAACGAGCTCCGACTTAAGGAAGGTCACAAGATGCCAACCGAAGAGAAACTGAATGGAAAATCATTTTGTAAATGGCATGGAGTATATGGTCATCAGATTGGCAACTGTATTGCTTTCTGAAATACCGTTCAGAAGGAAATCAAAGAAGGCCGCCTTAAGCTGGCCAAAAAATCTGATATGAAAGTGGATACGGAGCCGTTTCCGGCGCCGATCAACATTTTTGGAGTGCGCCCATCTAGATTTGGAAGATCAAGTATAGTTTCTCGGACAAACCATAGGGGGGCAGGTTTCAAAAAACCCATGTTCGAACGGCTGGGAAGGTCGATCAAACCGCCAAAGAGAAGTTCGGTATGGGATAGACTTTCTCCAAAAAATATGGTCACGGAAGTAAGTTTTGAAAAAAGGGGGAGGTTTGGCGAGTAACTTCCGTGGACCAAGTGGTAATCACGCCCCCGAATCCCGGGGAAGGCCCCAAACGACGGAAGTTGGACAAGGAATCGAAAGGAACAAATGAACCAGATCCCCACCAAAACCGAAAAAAGGAGGGCGCAGTGACGGCGCCTGGCCGCTCGCCTCTTCCAGGAACATCAGGCTGGGGGGCAACAAGCTGCCTACTACGAAGGCGGAGATAACAAGCAGCAACACCAGAACTCAGAAGGGACTAACACTGAAAGACTGAATCCCGGCCGTTAGGACCTACGCTATCGTATCCAGTCCCGGAGGGAGTAGAGACCGAAAGGAGTTCTCTCGAGGGTCGAATATCCCAAGGAACCGCATTTTACGGTGATGCTTGGGGGGGATTAGATTCCTAAGGATGAACCAAGGATCGAAGCCCTTACTTGCGATGGAGCATCACAGACCACCTTAGACATTATCATCTGCGACGAAGACCTCGAACAACATGAAGGCGATCTCGAGGTTAGCACAGTGGGCGTATTACCTCGAGAATTTGAAGCGCCTCCGTCCCAGCCTGACTATTCCAGGGAGATGTTCTACTGGAATAAATTGGTCCATTGTATTGGGTAGAACATGAGTTTAACGTTCCGGGAGGAGTTCCGGAACCAGTGATTTTCTAGAAATTATCAGACAAGAATACACATCACTTGAAGCCATTATTCCTTACCGTCCATCTCGATGGGAAGACGGTCAGCAAAGTCCTGATCGATGGAGGAGCATCCGTTAACGTCATGACCCTGTCCACTTTGCGGAAAATTGGGAAAAACATAAATGATCTTGTCCCAACGTCCTTACGGATGACCAATTTCACCGGAAATGCACATATGGCAGCAGTCGTTCTAGTGGAAAAAGTGACGGTCGAAACTAGGACGGATCAGATGGTTTTTTCGTCATCGAGGGAAAGCCAACCTATTCGGCTATTCTTGGGAGGGACTGGATCCTTACTACTCAATGTGTGCCCTCGACCCTCCACCAGAAAGTCATGTTTTGGAATGGAAATCAAGTTGAGACGGTGGAAGCAGAGACCGATCCTATTATGGAAGTACATTCTACGGAAGCCGTATATTATTCCCCCGAGGTGTACCCACTATCGATGATGCTAGAGGATGCTGGGATATGGAAAGAATATAATTTAACCAAGAAAGGGTTTTAAATCAAAGTGAAGGCCGATGAACGGCCTGATGACACAGACGGTCATCATGATTGACGACTTGATTGTGCAGGACTTGGAGGCAAGGGCAGACATGTCCGACTGCCCATTCATACAGGCATGAAACCATGCCATTCCGTCGCCCGACGAGCAGGCAGGAACGGCCCCTGGACCGCCTGATTATGACCCGAACGAAGAGGACGTTCAGTCACCAATTTGAAGAGCTACTCCACCTTTTGAAGCTCAGGATCCCCTGGAAGAAGTTAAGCTAGGGGACGACACAGCGCCTCGGATGACACGAGTCAGCGCCCTACTGCATGACGATGCGAAAGAACGAATGGTTGCTTTGATTCGTGTGTTCAGAGACTGCTTCGCATTGGACTACCATGAGATGCCCTGGTTATCGAGAAGTTTGGTGGAGCATCGATTGCCCATTAAGGCTTTGTGTTGGCTGCATAAGCAGGCCCCAGGCGTTTCAACCCAAAGTTGCTGCCAAAGGTAAAAGATGAGGACAAAAGTCTCCTTAAAGCTAAGTTCATTCACACGTGCAGACACCCGGAATGGATTTCTAACATCGTTCCCGTATTGAAGAATAGCAGGAAGATCCGTATTTGCATTGACTTCAGGAACCTCAATCTGGCGACACCAAAAGACGAGTACGTAATCCCAATTGCCGACATGCTCGTAGATTCCATGGTAGGATACGAAGTCCTATCCTTCATGGATGGCTACTCAGGGTACAACCAGATATATCTGGCCGAAGAGAATACCCATAAAACAGCCTTCCACTGCCCTTCAGCGATCAGAATCTTCAAATTGATAGTTATGCCTTTCGGCCTAAAAAATGCCGGAGCAACCTACCAGAGGGCGATTAACGCAATATTTCATGACCTAATTGGTGCTTGCATGGAGGTATATATAGATGACGTGGTTGTTAAGTCCCGAGCCTTCGACCATCACCTGTTGGACCTTCGTAAGGTCTTCACACGAATGAGGCGGCATGATCTCAAGATGAACCCGGTGAAATGCACTTTTGGAGTACATACAAGAAAGTTTTTAGGATTTTTGGTGCATCAGAAGGGCATCGAAGTTGATAAAAACAAGACAAAGGCCGTCCAAGACCTTGGACCTCCCCGCAACATCAAGGAGTTACAAAACCTGATGGGGAAGGTCAATTTCTTGAGAAGATTCATCACCAACGCGGCGGGGAGGATGAAGGCCTTCTTGGTATTATTGTGCGGGAAGAAGGATACATTCAAATGGGGGACTGCCTAGCAGGAAACTCTAGACCAGATTAAGCGGGCACTAACATCTCCGCCGGTGTTAATTCTGCCGATCCTCGGAAGGGGGCTGAAACTATATATAGCCACGACGGATGACACGACAGGCTGTCTTTTGGCCCAAGACGATTACGAAGGTCAGGAAGGTTGTCATCTGAGAGGATTCCCAGTTAGTTATCCGACAAGCCCTTAAAGAATTCAGGTGTAGAGATCCACAGTTCTATATCCATCTTCGTGCAGTTCAGAACATCCTGCAGCAGCTCACAGATGTAGTCTTAGAAGATATACCCCGAGATGAGAATGCGGAGGCAAACGACTTGGCACAGTGGGCCTCCGGTTTCAGAAGGAAAGACATGCCTCAAGGATTCGAACGTTTATAAATCATCACACCAGACTTGGACTGGTGAACCCCTTTGCTGGAAGGCCGCCTCGAAAGCTATACAATATCAGCTCTTGAAATACAACCAAATCAATGGGGAGTTGTACCGACGGAGGTTGGATGGGACGCTGGCACGCTGCTTGGGTCACAAAGAGGCATTGAAGGCCATGCAGAGGTCCACTAAGGCATTGGGGATGCACACAGGGCCGGGCCCGTAATGAGGTGGACGATACTCTGCTATGGCTGTTTCTGGCCACGGATCTCGCAAGACTACGTGGACTATGCACGCAGATGTCCAGCATGTCAACGCCACGGACCACTTCGAAAAATCCCCTTTGAGGAACTTCATTCAATCGTCAGCCATGGCCCTTTCAGGGGTGGGCAATGGATGTAATTGGAAAGATCCACCCCTCATCGTCCAAAGGACATTCGTTTATCCTTGTGGCTACCGACTACTTTACAAATGGGTGGAGGCCATACCGCTCACCAAGGTACAGTAGAGCCATGTCATACACTTTATTAAAACAAATATTATTCAAATATTCGGCATCCCAAAGACGATCACCACCGACCAAGGTACCGCATTTACGGACGCGAAGGTCAAGGCATTCATGGCCCAATATGGGATCCAATTGCTCCATTCTTCTCCTTACTACCCCTAAGCTAACGTGCAGGCCAAGGCAACAAATAAGGTGTTACTTTTGATTATCAAAAAAGCTTTGGAAGATAATCCGAAAGGCTAGCATGATACGTTGAAAGAAGCACTATGAACATACCAGAATGCCAAATCTTCAGTGACCGGCAACACTCCATACCGGTTAACTTACGGACATGACGCCGTACTCCCACTGGAGATTACGGTACCATCGCTACGAACTTTGCGGATGAACGGACTCTCAATGGAAGAGAATGATCAAGCACTGCTTCAGGAGCTCGATGCCTTACCCGAAGAAAGGTTACAAACACTCGAACATACGTGGCATCAGAAAAAAGGGCAGAAATGGCCTTCCAGAAGCACGTCAGGTCCCACACCTTCCAGGAAGGTGACATGGTTTGGAAGGTCATCCTTCTGGTGGGTCCGAAGGATATGAAACTTGGGAAATGGTCACCCACAGGGGAAGGACCGTTCATCATATCAGTTAAGACGACTGGCGGTGCATATAGATTAATGGAACCCGAGGGAAAGGAGTTCAACACGTTCATTAATGGAAAATATCTTAAGAAATTCTATCCGTCCCTTCGGGAGTTAGAAGGAAAAGTACTTCCGTAATTAAAGATTGTTGATCCGTAGACAGCACGGGGTTAACCTGGATTGAGAAAATGATTTACCATCAAAGAAAGACTGACACAACAGTGGATTCATATCTACCAAAACAATTTCCTCCACCGATCACAGATCATTAAAAAAGAGACAAAAGCAAAAAGGGGAGGGAATGATTCAATTCAAGCTACACGAATGCGGAACAAGTTACTGACCCACAGGGGGATCTCTCAGACCTACATCATGAGTGACATGGACGTCCACAAGCCCAATACCAACAACGGATATACTTACAGCCGGTGGCTCGGGCGCTGTATCGGCAGTGCATGACTCCTCAGCCACAGCGACCAGCATGATGGGAAGTCGGCTGGCTGGCCCCGAAGTCTCAGGATGCAACAAAGTCTATAGGGCCATCATGCCAAGCCACACCGAACGCAGTTCCTCTAACCCTCTCTCAGCCCGTTGGCAGTTGTTCTCGAAGACGAGTTTCTGGCCGCAGAGTCCAAACAAGGGCTCATCCAGAGCCCTCGCTTGATCGTACATCTCCATTCTCCGAGCAGTCCTGGAAGCAAGACTTGCAGCCACCCTTTCTGACTCTGGTGGGATCTCTTTCAATCGCTCCTCAATTCTGCTCAATTCGGCCCGTGGAGCTTCTTCCTCAGCACGAAGGCCCTCTATATACGCCATCTCATCTTCAGTGTGTTGTTTCTCATCTAGAAAGCTCTGAGCGCAGGCAGCCTTTTGTGCTTCCAAGGCCGCCAACTCTTTGAGTTTACTGTCATTCGCATTGCGGATACGCTGCAACATCTTTAGGTGCCCGGAAGTTTCCCCCAGGCGGTCAGCAAGATCCTCCAACTGCCTGTGACGAGGCTGATCCAACGACAGGGAGGCGGCCGCAGTCAGAACAGATGCCTGTAGGCTGTCCAAGATGATCGAATCCTCCGGCAGAGCAGATTGATACACATCAAAGGGATCCGGATCCAGATCCTCGAGGCTAGAAGGGGCAGAGGCATTGGTAACAAGGACTTGGGCGAAATATGCCTAAATGTTGGCAGGGACTACCTTTGGGACTGAAGGAGCGGGTGAAGAGGTGGATGTCCAGACATTCTTGGGCCTGATCGAGACAGGGGAGTGAGTCCGGGCCGATTCAACCGCCCTTTCCGGAGTCGTAGCTACGTGCGAAAGCTACATGGTTACACCAGATCAGGACAGTTCACGGAAGCAAACCTGTGTCGATCTTTAAATGCTTACCTGGAAGGACGATGGAGGGGAGATAGATCGCTCTGCCGACTTAACGACAGCTTCAGAGCCTATTCCCGTATGGAAAATCTACCAAGAAGAATCTATCAGGATACTTCCCACACATAAGTACAAGAAAAAAAGGGAGAAGTGAAGCATACCTAAGCAAGAGATGTCCACGAAGGTGATTATTCCGTCGGGACAATAGAGGACAAGGGCGTCGCCTTCTTGGGAGGAACCTGTAAAATTTCAGTGAGATAAGAACCTCTTTTCATAAGGGAAACTCGTTTTCAAACTACCTGAGGGGAAGGTGGCGATGGAGCTGGTCGTTTGGCGGGACTCTTTGGCCGCGACCTGGGCACGGCTGGTTTTGAGATTAGCCTTCGGGAACATCGAATGGCAGAAAGTGATATGGATCGGATGCCTGTTAACGGAGGTGTGCCTGTGATGGGAAGAAAATGGATTGGTCATATACGTCTCCAGACTATGTGTCCCGCAATAGAAAATAAACAGAATACCTATAGCTGAGGGCATGGGCAATTCCTCTACTTCCTCGGAGACAGCGTTAGGCGACCCCTCACCACTCGAATGTCCATCAACCGGTTTGACTAGAGATCGCCGAAAGGCAGTCACGTTCGAGTGAATTAGAAAATCGGCCCACCAGTCATCGAAAGAAGGCAAAGTGAATGCCAATCATCAACAAGAGCCGACCCTAGACTTTGGCTCGAGCCCAAGGGGCGGTAGGAGAAAACCGAACAGGGGGATCCCTTGAACTAGGAAAAATTGGTGCGCAGAGTACTGAGGTTGATAGACCTCTCCAAGCAACGGATTATATCGGGATCCCATGGACAAACCTCTAATCAAAATTCGAGCGGTCAGGCACTTGTTCTAGTACATAGAACCAGGGAGGTTGGTAGTTACGGAGATTGAAGAATCAAGAGGTGCAAAGAAACCGGACAAAGGGCAAAATCCGGTTAAGGATCGATCAGTCTCGTGTAAGAGGGAGTAGGTGATTGAATGGAGATCGTCTTGAACAGGAGAATACGACGTCAGATGAGGACCCGAAATTGTGAGCGGGCCGATTGGGAGTTCAGGGCGCGGGCTAATTAGATTCGGGAAATATAGCCGGACCCACAACTCAAGAAACCATAGAGGACCCACTCTCACTAGTTCACGGGAAGTGGACACAAAAAGCTTCCCCATAAATTCATTTATACCATGATATAGCAAACCCAGGAAATACAAGGCTAAATCTATCTCCGCCCCGGAAATAAGAACATGTACAATCGGTTCCACTTCCCGGATGAATCCTTTCAACGCGCAACAAATGAAATACTTGCTAAACCAATACATACGGAAAGCATTGTGCTCCAAAGGATCAACGGAGCCAGAAAGCATGTTTGATGCAAGGAACTGAATCACAATGGTATTGCTGTCATAAGGAAAGAGAATCGGTAATCGGTCGGCCTTATATGATGGGGATGGAGGAGGCTCTACCCCTTTCGAAGGGAGACCTAAAATCGCTACCATATCCAACACAGTCGGGGCCAAGATCCCGAAGGAGAATACAAATGCGTTTATGCTGGGGTTCAAGAAACACATAAGGGATTTGACCATGAGATTATCGCTTGGGTTAAACTCAATACATAAAGACAGCATGTTCCAAACGCCCCAGGCTCGCCATTGCACCCCGAATAAAGGATCTAATCTAGCCTACCAATATTTAAATTCTGAAATACCGCTAGGGAGATGAAATATACGGGAAGGGAAAACGTTAAAATCAAACAAAGATTGGCTTAACAAGAGCTTACCCCTGCTGAGGGCATCGGAGATTTTCTCAGGAAACTCGTCTCGGTCCTTCGCGAAGGGCACGAGGCCAAATCGAGTCCTGCCAGACGCCGGGGTCGCCCTCCCGGAGCGCGTCGGGGGAGGATGGCTGGCCTGGGGGCCTGATTTCAGCCTAGACATCGGAGCTTCCCCCGTGGTGGAAAAAAGTTGCCGACGACCCTTGGAGCTGTTCCCCCGCCGCTGGTCGCCCAAGTGGGGGGATGTGAGGTCACTGCATCTCAGGAGACATAAAAGGGAACTCCAGAGATTGAAAGACTGGATGGGTGCTGACACGATTAAACGCGCGGACCCAAATTTGTGAAGTGGGGGTTTTACAAAATTATCCGGATACCAAGTTAATTTTACCTAAATAATTTTGTGGGAGGCATTTGTACCCTCCGAAATCAACCGGGCTGGCCCAAGTGAGCGCAGCCCAAGTCCCGAAAGGGTACGGCCCAGAGAAAGGTCCAGATTGGTAAATAGGCCCGCGGTCAACAAGTAAACGGATAAGGGACAATTCGAAAATAAGAAGAGGTTGGGGAGGTTGGAGGAAAATAAGGGACAAGAATCTTATCCGAACAAGATTAGGGGAATAAAAGCCTAAGAAGGCTGAGAGACGGGGAAGGGCAATTCATCTTCTTATTTCATTAATTTTTTCATCTGCAATTTTGAATTCTTGCATTCTCTTCAGATTTTGACAGTTTTCTTCAATTAATTCCAATTTAATTCTAAGCGTTAATTCATATCTTACCTTTTTCTTTCTTCGCCAATTTTTTCGATTATCGCGAGATAGCCTGGATCCTTTCTTGAGGAGGCCGGGGAACCCTACGATTAAATCAATTCCGACAGGCTTTTCAAGTTAACCTGTTGGTGGTGATTTTATATGACAACAACATGTTCTCTAGGTCAACCACAAGGTCTTTGACAATCCAGGTCATTAGATTAAGCTTCTTGAGATATGTCGGTAAAAAGGTAACTTACAAAAATTTTTATATTACAAATATTTTCTCAAAAAAATACTTTTGTGTTTATCTCCTACAATTTTAGCTCCGATGATTTTGAGTTTTATTGCTTTTATATGGCGATCTTAAGTTTTAAGTTGAGCCATCGTGTTTATCCATGAGCGTGCCCGTGCAATGCACAAATGAATATGATGATCAAGTTCTTGATTATCTTCGGGGTATTGTTTACTCATTTCAAATTTTACTACAAACATATTTAAATATATGAATATTTAATTTATACATATATAAAAGAAATGGCCCAAAACGTGACCCGAACCATAGAGCCCAATGACCTTGCAAGCTTTAATTTTCGTCATACGATCTAAGGGTTTGATCTAAAGCGACCATCATTTCTATGTATAAGTAGTCTTCGAAGAACGTAGAGTTATTGTTGCGTAGTCTTTCTCTCTAGCCAGATGGGATATTCTCTCTCTCTATCGTGCATTTGTGTGTCTAGCCGCTTTCAGTAATATTTTTGCAAGGGTTCATCATGGTCTTTTATTTGTTTTTCATGGAAACATATTTTGTGGTTGTTAGCAATTAACAATCTTGTAGGCTTTCCTTGAAGATCAAACCTCCGTTAACAAACAACAAATACATAACCCGTTTATAAAACGACTTATCTTTCCTTTCACCTATTCTAACCTAGAGATATAGATCTACAAAAGTTGGGTGTTTGCACGGAGACGAGCGACATACATGTTCTCTTGGTCGAGCACAAGGTCTCGGACAATCCAGGTCATTAGATTAAGGTGCTTGAGATGAGTCGGTACAAACGTAGCTAACCTTATTTTTATATTTCAAACTTTTTACCAAAAAATACTTTTGTATTTATCTTCTGCCATTTAAGGTCCGATCGTTTTGAGTTTTATTGTTTTTATGTGGCGATCTTAAGTTTTAACTTGAACATTCGTGTTGATCTCGTGCGCGTGCGAGTGAAATGTACGAATAAATATGAGGATCAAGTTCTTTAATATCATTGGGGTAATGTATACTTGTTTTAAATTTTACTACAGCCATATTTAAATATATGAATATTTAATTTATACAAATATAAAATAAATTGCCCAAGACATGGCCTGAACCATAAAGACCAATGACTTTGCAACCTTTGATATTCACCGTGCGATCAAAGGGTTTGATCTAGACCACCCATCATTTTTATGTATAAGTAGTCTTTGTATAATTGTATAGTTATTGTTTCGTCATTTTTCTCTCTAGCTAGCTAGGATATTCTCTCTCTATGTCGTGCCTTTGGGTCTCTGACCGCTTTCAATAAATATTTTTGTATATATAGTTTCATCGGCGGTCTTGTACTTGAATATTTGATTAAGTTGCTTGAGATGTGCCAGTACAAAGGTAACTAACACATATTTTTATATTACAAACAATTTTGCCATAAAACACTTTTGCATTTATCACATGCCAAGTTTGCTCCAATGGCTTCGAGTTTTATTTTTTTATTTATGTGGTGATCTTAAGTTTTAAACTGAACCATCGTGTTGATCTCGTGCTCGTGCGCGTGCAATTTAGAATTGAATACGAGGATTAAGTTCTGAATTATCTTCGGGGTATTTTTTACTTGTTTAAAATTTTACTACAACTATATTTAAACATATGAATATTTAATTTATACATATATAAAAGAAGTGGCCGAAGACGTGGCCCGATCTAAGGGTTTGATCTAGACCGCCAATCATTGTAAGTATTAGTCTTCGTATAATTGTAGAGTTATCACTGTGTCGTCTTTCACTCTAGCTAGCTATGATATTCTTTCCCTATGTGAGGCATTTGTGACTTGGGCCGCTTTCAATAAATATTTTTCTAAGCTTTCATCGGTGGTCTTGTAGTTGTTTTTCTAGAAAACATTTTTTCCCCGCGAATTATTGTGAGAGTACTCGGTAAATTGTGTGGATGTATGCATTGAATGAAGTTGTAGGCTTTCCTTGAAGGCCAAAATTAAACTATGCTTAAACAACAAAAATATAACCCGTTTATAAACCGGTTTAGCTTTCCTCTCACCTATTTTAACCTCGAGATATAGATCTACAAGAGTTGGTGATCTTAAGTTTTAAGTTGAACGATCGTGTTGATCTCGTGCGCGTGCGCCTACAATGTACAAATGAATATGAGGATCAAGTTTGGGATTATTTTTGGGTATTAGGTAATAGTTTTAAATTCCGCTAAAAACCATATTTGATGTATGAATATTTAATTTATACATATATAAAAGAAACGGCCTAAGACGTGGCCCAAACCATAGAGAATAATGAGTTTGCAACCTTTAATATTCACTGTATGATCTAAAGGTTTGATCTACACCGCCCATCATTTCTATGTATAAGTAGTCTTCGTATAGTTGAAGAGTTATTGTTGCGTCGACTTTTTCTCTAGCTATCTAGGATATTCTCTCTCTAGCTAGCTAGGATATTATCCCTCGAAGTCGTGCATTTGTGTCTCTAGGTGCTTCCAATAAATACTTTCGTAAGGTTTCAGCGACGGTGTTGTAGTTGTTACTCTTGCTAAATATTTTTTTCCAGCAAATTGTTGTGAGTGTTTTCCGTAAATTGTGTGGTTGTTTGCATTGAAGGATCTTTTACGCTTGCCTTGGTGCCCAAAACTACATTAAGCTTAAACAACAATAACATAACAAATTTATCATCTGACTTAGCCTTCCTTTCACATATTTTAACCTAGAGATATAGATCTACAAGAGTTGAGTGCTTGTATGGAGATGAGCGAGATACATGTTCTCTTGGTCGACCACAAGGTCTAAGACCATCCAGGTCATTAGATTAAGCTGCTTGAGATGTGTCGGTACAAAGTTAACTAACACGTATTTTTATAGTACAAACATTTTGGCCAAAAAATACTTTTGTGTTAATCTCTTGCCATTTTAGCTCCGATAATTTTTGTTTTATTGTTTTATGTGGTGATCTTAAGTATCATATTGAACCATCGTGCTGATCTCGTGCGCGTGCGCATGCACTGTACAATGAATATGAGGATCAAGTTCTGGAGTTTTATCGGGGCATTATTTACTTGTTTGAAATTTTACTACAGCCATATTTAAATATTCACCGTATGATCTAAGGGTTTGATCTAGACCGCACATCATTTTATGCATTATTCTTCGTATAATTGTAGAATTATTGTTGTGTCGTCTTTCAGTCTAGCTAGCTCTGATATTCTCTCCCTATCTGAGGCATTTGTCTCTTGGGTCGCTTTCAATAAATATTTTTGTTAGCTTTCATCGGTGGTCTTGTAGTTGTTTTTCTAGGAAACATTTTGTTGCCGGGAATTATTCTGACCGTTTTCCGTAAATTGTGTGGTCGTCTGCATTGAATGATGTTGTAGGCTTGCCTTGAAGGCCAAAATTACACTATGCTTAAACAACAAAAACATAACCCGTTTATAAACGGTTTATCTTTCCTTTCACCTATTTTAACCTAGAGATATATATCTACAAGAGTTGGGTGCTTGGACGGAAATGAACGACATACATGTTCTCTTGGTCGACCACACGGTCTCTGACAATCCTGGTCATTAGATTAAGCTGCTTGAGATGTGTCGGTACAATTTTAGCACTGATTGTTTTGAGTTTTATTGTTTTTATTTGGTGATCTTATGTTTTAAGTTGAACGATCGTGTTGATCTCGTGCGCGTGCGCATGCAATGTACAAATTAATATGAGGATGAAGTTCTGGATTAGTTTTTGGTTATAGTTAATAGTTTTAAATTCTACTAAAAACCATATTTGATGTATGAATATTTAATTTACACATATATAGAAGAAATGGCCTAAGACGTGGCCGGAACCATAGAGCAGAATGAGTTTGCAACCTTTAATATTCACTGTATGATCTAAGGGTTTGATCTACACCGCTCATTATTTCTGTGTAAGTAGTCTTCGTATAATTGTAAAGGTATTGTAGCGTCGTCTTTCTCTCTAGCTAGCCAGGAAATTCTTTCTCTAGCTATGATAACTCTTGATTTTATTTATTTATAGCATATATTTATTTATTTAATTATTTGTTTATGTCGAATTTTGATATTATTTGTGTTAATTTATTCTAATAATTGTATTCATTTCATCTTGTTTGTATAATATTAAATCATTAGTTTTTAAGTGTAATTTATAATTATTTTGGTGTATAAATTAAATTAATTAATGTGTTTCATGAATTATATTTGTTGGCATTATTTATGTGCTATTTAAGTAGTTAATTTTAACTAAATTAATTTTATTTAATAAGT